AGAAAAATAGATTAATCTACCTCTGGCTATGGCTGAAGAAGACATAAATGTCGTGGTTTGTCTAGTTTTATTTCATTGCAAGCAACTACCCTGACAGACAACATGAGCCAATTAATGTGTAAGCAGTTTGGCTATTTATGTCACTTAATTAATTGCTCTTCACACCAAAGGAGCATTTTACTAACCACCGCAACTCCAGAACAAGTTTCTGCCATCTGTGAGATTTGCGCAAATCTTTCGAATCTTTCATCAATTCCTTTTAAGAATAAGAAAGAAATCATTGCTCAACAAGGAGGTGGTTTTGTCTCTGATGCGGCATCCCCTCTCATGTCAGCCTTGGGCATGTTTTTGGTTTAAAAGATTCAGCAATAAAGAAGAAAAGTCATTTCAAGGTTAGCACTCAGAAGGATCAGCAGCATAAAGCGGTCACTGAGCAATTCTGAAGAGAGTGTTGCTTCAGACACTGACGGTGACATTTTTGAGAATGACGATATTGAGGACATTTTACAAAATATTTCTCCTGAAATACCAAGAAAAAAGCTCTTGACTTTCTTCATGCTGTAGCCTCCTCAAAATATCTTGTACTGGAATAGTCATGGTGAAATGATGTATCATCAACGAATAATTCCCGTCACTAACATAGCAGAGATCATTGAGTATGCTATATTACCATACAGCCTCGATATCAAAGCACCAAGAGGCCTGAACACGTTCATTAAAGGACTTGTGGAAGTTGGAATTGACAAAAAACTTATTGGAAACAAAAGAACATTAGTAGACCCCGTTGCTAGGCAACCCGATGAAGAAGATAGCGACTTGTCAGACAGTCAAGCAGTGACTCGTCTGAAATTCAAGAAAGTGACAGGAGGAGGAAGAAAAAAGTGAACAAGAAAATGATGAGCTATCAGCAAGACCAGAATCGAGTGACAGCGGTTCAGACGACGAAGTTGAATAGTGTCACGTTTGTCGTGACTTCTAACCTTTCTACTCAATACCTGTTGTACAATGGCCTAAATGTTTATGGCGGGAAGGATATTGCTGTCGTGATTGAATGCAATATTTGTTGTCACATCTTTCCAGTGGATGCTCACACTACGAAAGCCAAATTTATTCGGTGTCAAGAATGTGATTCAAAACTTATTGATAATCATGTTGATAATGAAGATCAAGAAATTGAATAATAAATAGAAAAAATCCCCTCATATTAATTAAATAAAAGAGTTTTTGCAACCATTAAATCTTGCCCGTTTATTGTGTTATTGACTTTCTCATCATACAATCGGAACTTGTCACAATTTTGATACGGATTGCGGTCACTGATTTGCATAGAGGCTAATACATTAATTAACAGGTGACCATCTCTGAAAACAATAACTCACGTTTACTTTGGCTTACACTG